TTGAAAGGACATGTGCATGTGCTGTACTGTACTGTATTTCAATATGCATAAACACACCCACACATGTAATACCACACAAACATTAACATTCTCTAGCATGTATATATACATATGCCATACATAGGCATATGTATATGCCTTTCTCTTGAGAATAAGGAGGCATTTTCTTTCAAACATTTTGGTTTCCATAAGAACTAGGGAAAAAGTGTAGCATTAAAAGTTGCTGAAATGCTGTTAGTGTTCCAAAACGCAGAAATAACTTGCTTCAACGTACCTCCACTTTTGTCAAGAGTCTGGCCAACTTTAAAATAGCTTTCACCCGCAGATGTTTACAAACAAACAAACGCAGCAAATAAAACCAGCACACGACGCAATCCCGCTCTTTTATCTCAAGACTTTCCCTACTATCGCATAGGGGACCAGGACATGTCGTAACCTTGGCAACAGCAGAGGTTCCAGTTTCTGAAAGCTAAACAGAGATTTGAGAATTCAGGCAGCGTGGATGGATGGAATGCCAGCAAGAGACTGTGACTGTGATGTCATCATCAGTGCTTGACAGGTATTTGTGTGTTTATGGAGAGGAAGAAATGGGAAAGGAGACATTAAGGATGGAATATTACGGAAATTTCGTCTACAGAGGGGAAATAGGCCAGACATGCCAAACACTAACTTTTAATACTATACACTATGTCTATGATTAAATGACTCATTGGAAATTCCTTTTTTGAAAGTTGTTGAAAAAATTATTTGGAAGCTATTTGTACCTCATATTTTCTTGGAGCGTGCTACTGTGAATCCAGAATGATCAAAAGAGTTTTGACGAGGTGCTTTATCTGTCAGTGTTTAACTGGAGCTGTAAGGTTTAGTCTGACTGAGAAAATACTGATGTTTTGGTGTCTCTGTTTGCATGGGCACCAATGAAAGAGAAAACCAGAAGTGTTGTCCCAGGCCCTGGAATAGAGAGTCCCTGCAATTGCAGATTAAATAAAAACAGGGGTCCAAACATAACGGTTGACATCACTGCCTCCAGCTGATCTATGATTAGTCTGTGGAACATTGATGTTATCAACCACCAGTAATATTTAAATGTCTTTGCCTTTTTTAAAGGGATAGACCTTAGTCAAGGTATAGCCAAATTACATTTTTGACAGGAAGAAAAACGAGGCTGTAAGGGATAGAAATGGATTTGTACAGTAAATTAACAATATGCCAATTGTTTAACTCACAAAAGATTTTTCCAAAGAAATTTTCAATAAACAAAAACTCCATAAAACAGGTTTGAAAGTATTGAAAGTGAGCTTTGAAAAATTCCTAGTATGATCTAGTATAGGTACCACTGTAAAAACAGTGGTCTATCCCTCACAGCTGTTTTCATCAGAGTATTTCAATATGGCATCTGCCCTCACTAAAGTCTAAAGTTCACTCATAATAGAAAATTTACTCACGCTCATGTCAATGTTTTGAAGAACTAGTTTTTCCAATACAATACAAGTTAATGGGATCTAAAACAACACTGGACCTCATTGACTTTCATTGCATGGACAAAAAACACTTAAGACACTCTTCAAAATACAGTATATTTTTTGTTCCCAAGAAGAAAGTCAAAGTTGAACTATGCCTTTAAATACTGAACATAACAAAGGGACAATGGAGGGGACGTCTTATAAAAATGAAGTGCAAAAGTTGTCAATGGAGCTTGCGAAATAATTAAATGACTCCTATCACTCAAAAAACCTGTCTACCATTAACCATTGGATGTTTTCACTTCGGAATAATTACAGGGTAAGCAGCCAATAACAAATACACACACATATATATATATATATATATATATATATATATACACACACATTCCTCTGCTCTGCTTTAAATAACTGGCCTCATTCCCACAGTGAAAAGCTGTGAGTTTACTCTGAGTAAACCAGAATGCTTGTTTAAGGGCCTGAGTTTCAATATTACTCTTTAAAAAAGCCCACAGCTGCCACCTTCTCCCTCAAACACAGACACTCACTTATACACAGTGTTCTCTTATCACTTTCCAACACAACCTCTAATTTGAGTTTCAAAGTCTCTGACTGGCAAGACCAATTATCCTAAATGCGTCGCACTCCTCTTTGCTATCTTCTGTGTAGAAGGTGCATGGAATGTTTTAAGTCACAATGAAATCAAAATGGACAATTCATAATTTTTATGGAATATAAATAGCCTAGCAGTATTTATTATAAATGATTTATCTGTTCCGTGCACATCTTTTTTTTTTGCCCTCATAATCTTTAACCAAAATAACTTCCCCTCCCTCATCATCTCTTCTCCTCTGATGATGTGTTTATCGGGTCGAAGGCGGTACAACCTGCTAGTCACACATGAGATCACAGCAATAGCAAACCACAACCATCCAATCAATTCCCATTGGACAAAATTAAGTCCCGCCCTACATTTTTTCTTCTTTGAGAAGGCGTTTCACTCGGATATACATCACAATAGGGATGAAAAGACTATTGCAACTTACGTTTCATGCTGACTTTAAGGAAGAATGGGAAATACGATCTACAAACAAAAGCAAAACTTAGATAAAAAGATGGCAAGGGGAAATGACTGAGAATGTTGATGACACAGACACTAGTAACTACTGCACATCATATAAAACAAATGGTAGATGGCCACTCACAAACACACAAGGATTGGCATGCTTATGGAATGTTCGACTGGATTTCTGAAACATTTTCCACTCTGAAACTGCTCCTTTGTGGCTTGCTGCAAGGATTTTCCATGCATAGTGAAGGAATAAAGCCTGATTAGCCCCAAAGACTTCATGTATCTAGTTATGTAATAAATCTGGCTCTTACTATTGTGAGCACTCTAAATCACAGCATACACTGACCATCACACACCACAGTAGTCAAATAAAGAGGGATCACAGACTGTGCTGTAAGTAGAACCCAGTTAAATAAAGAAATGAACAGAAGTCACCAAAAAATGAGAAAATATGTGGCATTTGCATGTGAAAGAGAGGCTGTGTGTGTGTGTGTGTGTGTGTGTGTGTGTGTGTGTGTGTGTGTGTGTGTGTGTGTGTGTGTGTGTGTGTGTGTGTGTGTGTGTGTGTGTGTGTGTGTGTGTGTCTGTGTGTGTGGCATGGGGTAGTGCTGATGTTGCATGATGGCATCATTATGGGCACTCTGTGGCACTTTCCAGAAGTGGAGGATGGTTTGGGGTTTACAGACCTCTCACCACAGAACCCAGATGCTGGCATTGACAGACAGAGGGACACAAGAAGAGAGGCTGCTTTCTCTGTACTTAACAAACTGCTAATCAAACTGTCTGTCAGTATATAATCTAATTTTTAGATTAGAGTAGAGTAGAGTAGAGACTCTTTGTCAAATAAGATGGGTCCACATGTGAGTATTTGTTTAGGTGCCTGATCTTCCAGGCTGTCTGATGCATTCCATGACTGAAACCACAAGACTAAGTCAGAGCAAAACGTAATATGCATCATCTTGAAAGTCAGGCTTTAAGTAAAAGGTAAAATACTTAATGGCAAATTCATTGTTGGCATTAGAATAAAGGTTTATCGTAATGATGATGATTATAGCTTTAATACAGTTTGAGCATAGCTACAGTGCTTATTTCCACTGAACAGCATGACCTATAGACTCTGGACAAGGAAAGTGTAATGTGTTAGACACGCATTAACAAATATGAATCAAAAATACTAATTAATTAAACAAAGAGAAAACACTAGGAGATAGATATAGCAATAACACATTCACATAAACAATACCGAACATGGAAAAGACTGAACTAAAGGCTTAAAAAGGCAGAGCCCAATAGAGCCAAAGGGGTGGAAGGACGAATCGCAGCTGGAGGCCCAGATGTCCGTGGCGCAGGCAGAGTGACGTCTGACCAAAGTGAAGCCGGAGGGATGAGGGAGCCAGGTGGAGCCGTAAGGATGGTCCCAGGTGGAGCCGAGAGAGAGGGGAAGACAAGGTAGAGCCAACAAGCCGATGAGTGACAGGCTCAGCAGCTGGAGGCGAAGCAAGGGGACTTGACAAGGCGGAGCTGGAGACCAGAAGTCCCGAGGTGAATCCACACAGCAGAGAGGAGTCAGAGGAGGAGCCAAGATACTGAAGGGAACCTGCGGAGGCGGAACCGAGGAACTGGCAGTTATGGGCAGAGGAGGAGGGAGAGGGAGGCTAGGCGGGATCCTTGGAGACACGGGAGCTGGGTGGGACCAGAAGAAACACAGGAGAATTGGAGCTGGGCGGGACCAGCGGGGACGCGAGATACAGGGCAATATACTCTTGCATTTCCTCATAATAGATAACAGAAGCCAGCTGCAGCTCACCCATGCCCTCGAACTCCAAGAGGACACCCAAAGTGACGGATTGTGTAGCCGGCTCACACACCTGGTCAGACTCAAGTTGGACTCGAGCTCCAGGGTGATGATTGGCTCAGTCTTTGTTCCATCTGGCGCTGACATCGCGGCCGGCTCGAGCTCCGTGTCTGCGGTGGGCATTGTGTGGGAGCACTCCGTGCAGTGTGTGGGAGGTGGCTGGCTGGGCTCTGGGTCCAGAGTGGGGGTGGTGATGTCCTCCTCTGCGGGGCAGATGGTGAACGGAGATCCGTTACTCACCAGCACCCACTCCATATAGGTGCCAAAATCTCCCAAAGGACCAACACTGGGCAGGCGTGCCTTGGATCGCTCATTGAGGCTGGTAAAGTAAAACACACACAAAGAGAGCGATCTGGATAGTGTGTGAGGCATGCCAGATCTAAGTCTTTGTTGTGGTTCTCTAGATTTTGCTCCTGATCTAGGCAGAGCAGTTGGACGCCGGCAAGTTCATAAAAAAGGGAAAAAACGCAGCAACCAATCAAATCTAGGTTCGGTATTTTGTAACGCATTAGACACGCACAAACAAAGATGTATCAAAAAAAATATATATATATATATATTTTTTTTTTCAAAAGAGAAAACTCTAGGAAATACATAAAGTGTTCTGCCTCCGCTTCTGTGTGTGTATGGCGTGGCCTAGCCGGTTACATCAGCTCGGCAGAAAGTTAACAGTTTCCCCAAGACAAAGAATGAAGCTTGTTTATCCTTTCCAAACTTTACTCAGGAAGCACTGTAAAACTGCAAAGAATAATACATTTCAGTATTCCATTCAAATACAGAAGTTGTTTATGAATAATATTGAAATTTAATCTGTTAAACAATATAAAAATAAATGCGCTAGCTTAATGCTAACTTTTAAGGGAATTTACATTACGAGGCTAACGTTTAGCATATGCGATCAAAATACACATTTAGAACGAACTCAACTTCATTAACAAAGGAACTCATTACTATCATTCCTAATGCTAGATGATGAGATAACTATAAGACTTCGTACTTACAGGCAAACGTGTTTTCTGGCCAAATTAAATCAAGAGAGAAAAATATGAGACCGCTTAATTCGCCGTGACATTGAACTGACGCGAGACTACTAATAAAATGTAAACAACATGCTAGGTTAGGAATCACCACAAGAGGTCGCTCTTTTACCCAGAACATAACACTCCCCGCTTGTTATAATGTATTATAACACTATTCCCTTTTTACAAGTAGAACAACTTCTGAGACTGGTCTAGAATACACCCGCTGAGTACCCTGTCTGCCCACCCTCACGTCCACTTTGCGAACTTTAGAGTCTTTGCTGGGAATGGCGTTCACCACCACTCCAACAGGCCATTCATTCCGCTTGACCTGAGCATCTTTGAGCAGGACAACATCTCCTTCGCTCAGGTTTGGCTTGTCCATGTGCCACTTTCTCCTTGGTTGGAGTAACACCAGATATTCTTGACGCCAGCGTTTCCAGAATGAGTCGGCCAACGCCTGTACTTGCTTCCACTGTTTGCTGTATAGGTCTTTAAGGTCATACTCTCCCGCTGGTGGCAGTACTGGGTCAACTTTCTGTGTTAGCAGCATGGCAGGTGTGAACACTGTGGGCATGTCTGGATCGGATGACACAGGAACAAGGGGTCTAGCATTCATAATGGCCATGACTTCAGCCATGAGTGTGACCAAAACTTCATGAGACAGGTGGGCAGTGTTTGTCTGTAACAACAGTGCATCCAGTATTCTACGGGCAATACCGATCATACGCTCCCACACTCCACCCATATGGGAAGAGTGGGGAGGATTAAAGGTCCAGGTGCAGCTTTGATTGTGAAGGTAAGCATTTAGTTCCTGATCATCAGATTTGATCTGAAGTTCCTTGCATGCCCCAATGAAGTTCGTTCCCTGGTCAGAACGAAACAGGCGGACAGGACCACGGACAGCTGTGAATCTCCTTAATGAATTAACAAAGCTTGAGGAGGACAGAGACTCGAGCACTTCGATATGCACAGCTCTTGTTACCATGCAAGTAAAGATGACTGCCCAGCGTTTGTTCTCTGCAATGCCGCCGCGAGTTCGTCTTGAGCTTATGGTCCATGGGCCGAACACATCGACACCTACATTTGTGAACGGAGGACCTGGGTCGAGTCGTTCAGAAGGTAGGCTTGACATTTTTTGTTCTTCCAATCTTCCTCTCAGCTTATTACAGGTCACACATCTATGTATGATGCTTGACACCAGTCTCTTGCCTCCAATCAGCCACAATCCAGCAGAGCGAACAGCACCCTCTGTCAGATGTCTTCCCTGATGAGCGACCTTTGCATGGTAATGCCTCACCAATAAGGTAGCTACGTGGTGTTTTCTGGGGACAATGATGGGATGTTTCTCTTCCCAGGGTATGTCAGCCAAAGGAATGCGTCCTCCAACTCTCAGCAGGCCATCCTTATCCACAATTGGATTCAGTTTCCTCAGAGAGCTCGACTTTGGAACGACTTCACCTCTGGAAAGGCATTTTATCTCCTCAGCAAATGTATCGTGTTGAGCGTTTCTGACAACTATTAGTCTTGCCTGTGTCGGCTCATCCGTATTGCTGATTGAGCCCTTTGCACAAGACCTGGCCTTGTGTATGAGCTTGGTAACGGCTCGAATAAGTGACTTCCAGCTGGAGAAGCGTTCAAATCGGTTTGATCCCAGCTCTCCTTTGACGGTCTTGGTTATGAAAGTTTGGATCTGTGAGCGCACGTCTGCGTCTGCTTCAGGGTCAATGAGCTCAAACTTCTCTGGTGGTGAGGTGTCTTTGGCTAAGAAGGCTGGACCTTTGAACCAATTGGTGTCTTTCAACATGGCTGCTGGCACTGAGCGAGTCCCATGGTCTGCAGGGTTGTGTTCTGTGCTGACAAAGTGCCATTGTTCCGGGCTTGAAGACTTTCTGATGCGTGTGACTCTGTTGGCGACATATACATAGAATCTTCTACTTGTGTTGTTGATGTATCCCAATACAATCCGACTGTCTGTGTAGAATGTGACTTTGTGGATGTCTACATCGAGCTCTTCTTTAATTAAGTCTGCCAATTCAACAGCCAAGACAGCAGCACAAAGCTCGAGCCGTGGTACAGTGTGCGGGGGATGAGGAGCCAGCTTTGCCTTGCCCATGAGGAAACCAATGTGAGTGTGTCCATTTTTATCTGTTGCTTTGAGATAAGCCACTGCTGATATGGCCATAGTGGAGGCGTCGGAGAAGATGCAGAGTTCTCTGTGTTTTGTGGAGCACAAGGAAACTGGCACATATGGTCGGTCAATTTGAAGCTGCTCAAGCTCGCAGAGTGAGTCCGTCCACATTCTCCACTGTTCCTCTTTCGGCGCTGGCAGAGGAGCGTCCCATTCAGCTTGATCGGCAGACAGCTCCCTGACTAAGACCTTTCCTTTGATTGTGACAGGTGCTACAAGCCCTAGGGGGTCGTAAAGTCCATTGACTGTAGACAGGATCCCCCTTCTAGTAAATGGCTTCTTCTCTCTAGATACACGGAACGTGAACGTGTCTGACTGCAAGTTCCAGGTGAGTCCCAAACTCCGCTGCAGTGGCAAGGGGTCAACAGTTAGCTCTAGATCCACCAAGTCTTTGGCCCGCTCCTCAGGGGGAAAGGCATCCATCACAGTACGACTATTAGAGGCTATTTTGTGTAACTTGATGCTTGACTCTGCTAATATCTCTTTTGTGTTTTTCAGTACAGCGATGGCTTTTTCGTCGGTGGGGAATGAGGAAAGTCCATCATCAACATAGAAATTTCTCATGACGAACTGTGTAGCTTCACTGTCCTGTTCCTTTACTCCATGCAAGGCTGCTCTTCTCAGGCCGTAGATGGCTACTGCAGGGGAAGGAGAGTTGCCAAAAACGTGCACTTTCATGCGATACTCAGTGATGTGTTTGTTTGGGTCGTTGTCTTTGAACCACAAAAATCGTAGAAAATCACGATGATCTTCCTGGACAATGAAGCAGTAGAACATCTGCTGGATATCTGCAGTTACCGCTACAGGCTCTCTGCGGAAACGCATGAGGACCCCCAGTAGGGTGTTGTTCATGTCAGGCCCACTGAGAAGAACGTCATTAAGGGAGGTGCCTTCGTGTTTCGCACTGGAATCAAACACTACACGTATTTGGTCTTTTTTCTGTGGGTGATAAACACCGAATATTGGTAGGTACCAGCATTCTTGTTGTGGCTTCAGTGCTGGGGCAACCTCCGCTTGATCAGCATCAAACATTGCTTGCATGAAGTTGAAGAAGTGTTCTTTCATGCCATGTTTCTTCTCCAGCATGCGACGGAGGGAGGCGAGGCGATTGACAGCATGATGTCTGTTGTTGGGCAGACACGGCCTGTTTGGCTTAAATGGCAGCGGTGCTACCCAGCAGTTTGCTTCGTCTATGTAGACTTCCTTATCCATGAGGTCAAGGAACAACTCATCTTCGATGGACAGGCCAAGCTGATCGTCGCGCTGTGTTCTTTGAAACACGTCTCTGCCCAGGCTATCTGCTTCATTGGCTGCTTGAGACACACATGGAAAGGTGTGGGCTGGTACAGCGCTGTCAATCTTCTCTCTGACCATTAAGTTGCTGATGCATGGGTTAAGGATGGAGTGGCGTCCACTTATCAGCACACTGGTTCTGAAGACGCTGGCAGTAGTGGTTTTATGTGCTCTTCCCAGACACACATCTCCGATTATCACCCATCCAAGGTCTAGTCGCTGAGCAAACGGTGCATTGTGTGGCCCATTACATTGTTCACGCACTTTGTGCAGCCGTATTATATCTCGCCCAAGTAGGAGGAGGATGGACGCGTTGGGATCCAGGGCTGGGATTTTGTCTGCCAAGTGTTTGAGGTGAGGATGATGTCTAGCTACCTCTGGTGAAGGTATTTCGGACCTGTCGTCTGGCAGCATGTCACACTCAATCAGAGTAGGCAAGGGAATGTGGATGTTACCGTCTACTGACTCCACCATGAAGTTGCTGGCGCGTCGCCCTGCTGTATCCACCACTCCTGAGCATGTCTTCAGAGTGTACCTCGACCCTGTGCCTTGAATTCCAAAATGTTCAAAGAATTCTGTTCTTCCAAGGGACTTGTTGCTCTGCTCGTCAAGAACAATGTAGGTCTTTATGGCTTTGTCTCTTTGGCCAGCAGGATACACTAAGGCGAGACAGATTTTGGAACAGGATTTTGACGTGTTCACACTCCCACAGATTTCTGTGCATTTGGACGTCACAGACGGAATGGCCTCCAGCGGCTGCCGCTCCCCGCTGTGATCTATAGTACTCACATGTACATCAGTTTTCCATGGGGCGGGCCCTGGATGTAACGCTGACAGGTGTTTGTCACTATTGCACTCCTGGCACAGCAGAGGCCTGTTACAGTCCTTAGCGACATGAGTGGATGAAGCACAGCACTTGAAACAGATGCGTTTTTCTTTCAGATACGCTTTCCTTTCCTCAAAAGTTTTGTTTCTGAAGCCACGACATTTTCTCAATGGATGAGGCTTGTTATGTAGTGGGCACTGTTTGTCGGGATCCTCTTGTTTCCTGACTACTGTTGTATTATCGCTGTCACTTGTTGAGATTTCAGTCCTCCTCACAGCAACTGATGTTCTCACGTGATGACTGGCTGGCTGGTAAACACTCTTTTCTGTCTTTGTTGCACACCATGCTCCTGTAATGCTGGCAAAGCTAGGGTCGTTGCGTGTTCTTGCCTGTTCACAAACAAAGTTGACGAAGATTCCAAAGGGAGGATATGGCACCCTGTGTTGGTCTTTGTAGTGTGATCCTACAGTAATCCACCTCTCTTGTAGGTTGAGAGGGAGTTTCTGGACTATTGGGCTTACTCCACGGGAGGTGTTGAGATATGAGAGACCAGGTAAGTATCCATCTGCTCTGGCTGCTTCAAGTTCCATGAGAATGTCTCCCAGTTCTCTTAACTTGTGGTTTTCTTTGCCTGAGATCTTAGGAAATTCCTCAACTTTTCTCAGAAGAGCATTTTCAATCACCTCAGGTGAGCCATAAACATCCTCCAGTCTTTGCCATAACATCCTGAGGCCTGTGGGTGCATTGTGAATGTGTACCGCTCTGATCCTTTTAGCTTGCTCAGATGACGAGGGCCCGAGCCATTTGCACAGCAAATCAAGTTCCTCTCTAGCGGAGAGTTTCAGGTCATCAGTAGAGCTGATAAAAGACGCCTTCCAGGCCCAGTAGTTCTCCGGCTTGTCGTCGAACTTCAGTAGGCCCGAGCTCACCATCTCTCGTCGCATCAGGTACTTCCCTAGGTCTGTTGCAGCCACTGCACTTGGTGGGCTTGTGTTGTATATGGGGGGTGGTGACTGTGTGTAGTAAGATTGGAGAGGCTTGAAATCGTCACTGGTTTGTTTCACATTGTGGGAGAGCTCACCGTAGCTGTATGATTTTCTCTGTGCAGTGCTGGATATCTGATTTGGGGTCCAGATTGGCTCTCCTTTGTACGAGTGGTGAGTTTGCTCAAGAAACTTGTGTTCACTGATTTCACTTGGTGACGCGTTGACCTGTTTGTCACATCTGTTCGCTTCACTGCTGTCCATGGAAAGCTGGCACACTGGTGAGGTCGTTTGTGGTCTTGCATCTGATTGTGAAACTGTAACTAAATTTACTGTATTGGCTGCTTTTGCACTCTGATAAGGCTGGTGACCTGGATGTATAATAGGAATCTGCATTGCAGCATTTCCACAATGAATTTCAACTGGAGTTAGAGGCATTGAGTTTTTTTGAATTTGCTGAAGTGGATTTAACAGTTCATATTCCTCCTCAGCAGCTGCTTCAAGGCTTTCAGCTTCGGCGTTAGCAGCAGCCGCCGCTTTTGCTAATTTCAGTTCATGCAAACTGGCGTTTAGAATGGCTTGTTGTTTTATTAGCTCTGCCTCTTTTCTAGCAAATGCAAGCTCAGCACGTGCAGATTCTGCTTTAGCCCGTGCTTTCAATGCCATAGAATTAGCCACAGATTGTCTGCTGGTTCTTGAGTAGTTAGATATTTGTGATCTGGTTTCTAATCCATCCAAATCCTCTTCTTCTATTCTGTGTGCCATGATGGTTGTTTTAGGTGATTTTCTACTTACAGATCGACAAGTGCTGGCCGTTAGAAGAGTTGCCTTTTTACTGTTCTGCCTCCGCTTCTGTGTGTGTATGGCGTGGCCTAGCCGGTTACATCAGCTCGGCAGAAAGTTAACAGTTTCCCCAAGACAAAGAATGAAGCTTGTTTATCCTTTCCAAACTTTACTCAGGAAGCACTGTAAAACTGCAAAGAATAATACATTTCAGTATTCCATTCAAATACAGAAGTTGTTTATGAATAATATTGAAATTTAATCTGTTAAACAATATAAAAATAAATGCGCTAGCTTAATGCTAACTTTTAAGGGAATTTACATTACGAGGCTAACGTTTAGCATATGCGATCAAAATACACATTTAGAACGAACTCAACTTCATTAACAAAGGAACTCATTACTATCATTCCTAATGCTAGATGATGAGATAACTATAAGACTTCGTACTTACAGGCAAACGTGTTTTCTGGCCAAATTAAATCAAGAGAGAAAAATATGAGACCGCTTAATTCGCCGTGACATTGAACTGACGCGAGACTACTAATAAAATGTAAACAACATGCTAGGTTAGGAATCACCACAAGAGGTCGCTCTTTTACCCAGAACATAACATAAAGCAATAACAAATTCACAAAAACATGGCACAACATAGAACAGACTAAACTAAAGGCTAAAAAACACAATCAACGGAAAACAGAACAGGTGTAGAACTAATTAACAACCATGGAAACAAAGGCAAACGGGCAAAGGGAAAACCAAACTAAAACAAAATGAAATGACAGAACTAAACATAAATGAACAAAAAGACCTTCTGAGGAGAGTAGTTTTCCCTAATTGAACCATAAGTTGTAGAAAAATTCAGGTCTGGTGAATTTTATTTTTTCAACCAGCATTTTTGAAGATAACATGTTTTAGGGATTATGGGAGCTTCTTGTCTGTTTTCATAATCTCAGAGAGACAAATACTTAGACTGTCATGCTAAACAAAAGGACTTGCGTGAGAAAATAAGTGTGTCCACATTATAGACCTTACAGATTTAACACATTATAAACATTAAGATCATATTGGTGTAGGGTTGTGGTTAGAAGGGTCAGGGTTTTGAATTCTAAAAATCCCTAAAGTCTCTAGGGTTAGATGACAGATTCATCATTCACTTATGATGTACAAATGACTTTCACTTAACTCGAGTCAAATAAAATCACAGCTTCCTTTATAATAAAGATGGGAACTATTATAAATAGATATACAAATCAATATTGACTTATAATGTTTATGTCACGTAGATGGTGGTATTAAGAAGTTGCATGACGCAGGTAATCCAAGATAAACACTTTAATAATAATAATCACGGAGAATACACAGGGGAAGAAACTCATTCCACTCTAGATAACGACGAGAACCGACAAAGGAATGAACAAAACATGGAGTAATTATAAACAGAGAACTTAACTAGATACATGTGGAATTAATTAGTAACCTAGGTGAAAAAAAGGAAAACTTAGTAACTATATAAACGAGAACTGAACTGAAAGGAAACATAGGAACATGAACACAAAGACAGAGAACGGCGCGAGGCCGGTGGCGTGATTGATGATGAGCGACACCAGCGCGACGCACCGGTCTCGTATCTCTCACGGAGGAGCGGAAGCATAAAAAGAAGGAGCGACGATCATGATGGACGAGAGAGGACCAGGCCTGGACTGTTTTATTTGATGTGTTGTTTTATTATGTGTGGCGGCAGTCGTCCGTGAGGGGCTGCCATCTTTACTTTAATTTTGTGTTTATTTATTTTATGTTTATTAAAGTCTTTGAACGCTCGCCGGTTCCCGCCTCCTTCTTCCCACAACAACAAACTGTGTTACACACTGGTGCTGAAACCCGGGAGGAAGGAGGGACACGCTGTCGGAGAGCCCTCGCTGTTGAGGGGAATCGCGGTGCTGAGGGCAGCAAAGGAGCAGAGACCACCGATGGCTGCCCGAGGCGATGGTGCTGGAGCGATTGAACAGCAGGTGAGACGGAGAGCTCGCTGCTGTGCTCCTGGGTTGAGGAGGGGTGTAATGGGCAGTAAAATTGTGGAGGGGGAGGGGGCTTTGGAGGAGGACGAGGAAGACCTGGATCCCTGATGCACGTCTTGGGGGGAGTCTTGGAAGTCTTTGGAGACCAGGTAGTCTTAGGCAATGTCACAGGTTTGAGTGGACGAGGCGAAGACGGGGCCCGACAGAACGGGGTAACATCAGAGTGAGTGAGGACCAAGGTGGAACCGGAGGGAAGGAGGAGCCCAGAGGAGCTGAAGGGGTGGAAGTCTTCAGCAAAACCAGGGTAACGATGGACCAAGGTAGAGCCGAGGGACGAGGGAGCCCAGAGGAGCTGAAGGGGTGGAAATCCACAGCGAAACCAGGGTAACGATGGACCAAGGTGGAGCCGGAGGGACGAGGGAGCCCGGTGGAGCCTGAGTGATTGCAGACCATGGCGGAGCTGAGGTAGCGTACAGCAAAGGCAGAGCCAACGGGCAACAGGCCGAGGTAGAGCAACGGGCCTGGAGGCCCAAGATGAAGCCATGGAGTCAGTTTCCCCACTTCGCGCTGGTGGTGAGTGGGTCCGAGACGGACCGGATGAGCTGGTGGAAGTCAGCGGCACGGGCAGAGCAAAGGAGCTATGAGAGATCAGCGAAGCTGGTGAGTCTTGAGAATTTGGCGTACCAGCGGTGATGGTGACCATAGGTTGAACATTGGGACCAGGTCGTCCATTATGTAGTGTTTCAGCAGAATGAGGAGGAGTGTGCTCAGGGGCAAGGACAAGCATGGCAGCTGGCTCTGCTGTGATATTGATGAGCCAGCCCTCCTCTACTGCCTCTATGGTGGACTGTCTCACCGGCGCTAACTCCACGATGGACCTGGCAATCGACTCCAGTCTCGGGACAGACACGGTGACCGGCTCGATCTCCGGGAATGGAGAGAACTCAAGCTTGTGGTCCGCAGTGGGCACTGGTTCAGGCTCTGGCTCCATGGCGGGCATGGAAGTGGGAGATCCTTTGAGATCTCTCTGTGTTTCTGGGACACTCCGGGCTGGGACTAGGTGTTTTCTCTGGAGTGGGCAGAGAGATAGCTGCTGAAGGTGTTGATCGTCCTGGGGAGTCAGAGTAAATGGTGTCGTTGTCCTCGGCATAATCGATGAAAGACCTCATCCAACATCAGCATTTGGCCGAGGATATCGTCCATCCTGCTCCAAAACTGCTGTTTCAAAGTTTTATCGTCCCAGTGGGCCTTGTGATAGTGTTCCAGATACTCCTCCACATAATCGTCTAGCGACCGGCCGTTCTGTGAAAAGCAGTCTATAACATACTCGTTGTTGTGGGTCTGTCACGTATGGTGGTATAACTATAGAAATGAGAACTGAACTGAAAGGAAAGATAGAAACATAACAACAAACACTAGTTACAAAAGATTTCTGTAAAGTAAATGCAGCTTTGGTGAGCATAAGAAACTTTTGAAAAAATCTTACCAACCCCAAACATTTGAATGGTAGTGTACAATAATAACCTATTAGTTACTACTTGGTATTATTATTGTTGTTATTTAAGCCATTATATATTTATGCAAGGTTCACACATTTATTTTCATCTTTGTTTTGAGCTGTCTAATTGTTAAGCTAAAATAATTGAAAAATGATCCAAACAATACATCAAATAAGCTACCTGTGTTTTTCTTTTGAGACCAACTAACAGTGTAATTTGTTTGTAGACCAAATAGTAATTAACATATAAATTATAAAATTGAAAAGTATGAATATCTGTAAAAAATAAAATAAAATAAAAAAATTATAAAAAAAAAAGTATATATGAGTCAGAGAATATGTGGAAGATATGATGTTTGCTATTTAGAAAGCAAGTCATCCCACATCCTTATACACTCTCATACACCACGAACCACAGATGCTCTAAGTAAAAGTCTTTGAGCCTGATGTGCATGGACTTCTTTGGACTTCCATAAATGTAGCTTTCACTCAGCAGTGACTCAGCTTCCGCCTTTATTTTTACCCCATTTATTTATTTTTGGACTCGACTCATTCAAAAGCACATGGGCATCCAGCAGACAAAATTGGAGAGCACCAGAGGGTAAGAGGGAGAGAAAGAACGACAACACACACTAAATGAACCTGATGAGAGTACTAAAATAGCAATCACTTTCAGAACAATACTGATGCAAAACCCAGACAAACATGTCAAGCTAAACATACCCACACAGCTAAAAATACACCATCTAAATATATCAGCTTTTGGCATTCTTTACTTGAAATAACAAACTGGTACACCAGCCCTTGAGGACGGGGGTTTCACTAAACACACACACAAAATATTTTAGTGGTGTGTCGATTGCAAGTGTGTGTTTACGTGGACAAAGAGAATGTAAATGTACAGTATGTGTGAGTTTAAGAGACGAGAAAATGCTTGTGAGTGTATGCCGTGCAGATCTTGCTGCGTAGACTTTATGGCACCATGCCTTACCACATCCAATCTGATACAGCTCAGAGCGAGAGCTACCCTGCCAACCAGACAATATGCAGAAACCATTAAGAAGAGCGAGAGAAAATACAGGGATTAAAAGAGAGGGGGTCATTATTGCATTTCCACTCACAAACTCATGTGCTGGTGCCAGATATTCGAACATTAAGTTTGTTCATTAAAGGTATATTTCACTCAAAAATATAAATTCTGTTATAATTTATTCACACTTGTCATTCCAAACCTGTATTAATTTCTTCAGTGGAACACAAAAAGAGACGTAGGCAGAATGACAGCCTTTGTCACCATTCACTTTCATTGTATTGAGAAAAAAATGCAATGAAAGTAAATGGAGACTGTCACCAAAAATCTGTCTAAAGTATCCTTTTGTGTTATACTGAATAAGTAAAATCATACAGGTTTGGAACAGTGTGAAGATGAATAAATTATTTCAAGTAATTTAAGCTGAACTGTTTTTGGTGAACTATACCTTTAACTTAAGGCCCTTTCTTTTTTCCTCTTAAGTATCCAAGTGTGGAAAACTTTAATAAGAGCTCGTGAGCATTTCTGTCATCAAATTGAACCGAATAATAACCGTTTAAAAAAATAAGTGTTTGAATTGTCTTACCGACTCTGAAGCCAGGCCCGGTCAGTGTGTCGGCCGACTGTCCGTTTTCACCGATAAGCGTCGTGTTGTTGCCCTGTTCGCAGGTGTCCTGACATTGGCCCTTCAGGCATGTCCGTTTGCAGATGAGTGGCGCGATGACCACTTTGAAGCGCTCGCGAGTGGACGCGCGCTCGGCGCATAGAGCCAGCCGCTGGAGCGCGAGCCAGATGAGGAGCAGATGGGAGAGAATCAACGAGGGCATGCTGGCATCCCTCAATGCCAACACAGGGCATTCACGCTACCACCAACAGAATATCCACGTAAAGCCTGAGCGGACCAGGCAGTCCCTCCGGGCACGGCCGCAGAAAACGTTTTGCTGGAGCCCAGTTTGGAAAATGTACGCAAGCACGCGCTCTTTTCCCAGGCAGCGCTGGCTATGAAAGTTCTCGCGTAGAAAGTTTTCCTGATGCCTTCCTGTCGCGTTTAAAGTAAAAAA